ACAGAAATTTTCACTTGCGGTTTTCTGAATATGCTAGAAATTCTCGAATGACTAATTTAATAAGCGGTACTTCCAAACTAAAGAATTACTTTTCGGTATTCTTTCTCTTCTCGAGCAGTTAGTCAACTGTGAAACTGATAGGAAGCATCAGAAATTTCGTAAGAATTACTCCCCTTTTCAATCCTGTACCATAGCAACAAGCAAACTAATTAGCAGGTTTTTTTTTTGTTTTGATATCATTCTAGAAGAAGAGCCCCATACGAAAATTAATTAATAAGTTCAATTTCCGCAACTTATCGTGCAACTCCGATCACTTGTTTGGCGCAGCGATAACAGTTGTGGTTTTTGACAAAAGAAAACAATTTCGATGGATTCTTTCACGGACTGGGTAAAAGTAAAAGCAACTAATCAATGGAATTAGATGCTCTATGCTGCATCCAGTAAATTGATATTAAAATGAGATTTGCTGGTTTTACTTTTATCTATTCATCATCAGGAACTAATTAATTTGCATGATGAATTATGATCATAATTTTATTAGCATTAGGTTCTGTTTTAATTTCAATGTTGATTTGGAATCTAAATCAAATATGAATAAAAATAATACAGGATCTATAATATTTTCATTGCAATTTCATTAGCATAATATTGTCTACGTAATTGAAAATAATGGATAAATCAATTGATTGATTTTGTCGTGTCGTTTTATGTGCAATATAGATAAAAGCAGATAAATCCAAAACTATTCCAGTTAATATATTTAAATTGTGAACCGAGGCGTTAACTCATTTCTTGTGTGTATAAGAAATTCTGCTGAAAGCCGCAGAGTCAAAAATTGAAAATAAAAACTTAGAATTAGACAGGTAGATTAGATAGTTAATAGAATTAGAATATCTGATAGAAATGAGATTACTAGTTTTATTTTATTTATTCACCAGGAACTAATTAAAGACCATAATAATATATGGGCGTAATTTGATAATTATTATGCATTATGAAAGCCAAGTTTTAATTTCAATATTGGTCAGCAATCTAAACCAAGCATGAAAAAAAAAATATTTTCAATGCAATATTATTTATGTAATATAGTGAACATAATTGAAAATAACGATTAAATTAATTGGCTCATACATCACTAATATATATTGACTCATACATATTACGTCAGTGTGATCTTGATTACATTGAACAAACTAGACGCACTTTAAGATTTAGACTTAAAGAATATGAATGTCAGTTATCAAGAACTCGAGTAATCATCAATTTCTGCACATTGTTGGAATCTTGGGTATACATTCAATTTCGACAATACCAAAATTATTTAAACACCAATCACATAAAATTATCCTTATGCTTAGGAATCTATTGCTTTATTCACTTGAATGCTGATTCCCTTTTTATCGAGATTAGTTCCTCACCACCTCTCCATAGTGGGTGGAAATGCATTTTACCCTGATTCGCACCTGCAGCCACTATAGTTTTTCTTGTTCTATTTATCATATTTTTTTTCTTTTCTCGGTTACTTTTATTTTTCTAACTTTGTTTCGCCTCTTTATTTTTCTTCAGCAACTTAACGTTTTTATTTCAAATAATTTTCATTTCTTCTCATTTACGTCTGGCAAGTCCTGATAATGGACGATTATTTTTAAAGAGCTCGAAACATTTCGACAATTATTTCCTATTTGTATATTTTCGAAAAGCAAGAAGTTTTTAATCAGGTAACATCTTAACGCTTCTTCTTGGGATTATTTATTTAATATTATAATACCCTTTTAGCTAGAAGTTTGATAGATAAAATTAAACAAATTCAAAAATATGCTAATTAATGCACTTAATAGGTAGACCAGTTGACTACACAAGACTCACGTGTACAGAAAACAAATACAGATATCAGTAGGGCTCAAAAGTAAACACAACTAATTAATAGAATTAGATGATCACCAATATATCATTAATATAACCCAACATCTCTACAATTGATATTAAAATGAGATTTGCTGGTTTTATTTTATCTATTTATCATTAGAAACTAATTAAATTCCACGATGATATATAGTCATTGTTTGAATAGTATTTGATATAATGAAAGTTCTATTTGAATTTCCGCATTGATTGCTATTTTAAATTAAATGTAAATAAATGTATATGTAACGTAATGTAAATCCATAGTTTTTTTCAGTTAAGTTAATTTGTATACTAACTATAATTAAAAATTTTTTAATTAATTGTTTTTTATAATTAATTAGTGGAAAATATGTGAAGACACTGTCCTGAGTTGCGATTAAATTTTGTCTTTTATTTTTAAATTTTGTCAAACCTGGCAACTTATTTACGAAAATATATTATTTAATAATTTGTCGTAAGTAACGTGCTAGTTTGATTTTCGATGAACTTTTTATGCATTTTAATATTTTGCATGTTTACCATCGTTTTCATGTGCTGTTTTTAGTTGATTAGATTATACTAAAATCAGTTTCATTTTTACTTTTTTGTGATCACCATGTTTTCATATATTGCTTTGATGTTGTTGTCAGTTTCAAAAATCACTTTTCTCAGATACAAACTCGGGGGATGAGAGCGAGATTATATCATTTTGTGGTTAATTAATTTCTAGATTTCAAAATTGAAACACAATTTCGAAGAAAAATTATCTAAGTTGCGACACGAAAAGCTGTGAAAAAAATTTAACTCACAATAAGAGCTAATTTTTGAATCTCATGATTGCTTTAGGTTTATAATTTTATATCAGTTCAAAATAATTAAGGTTTAATTCTTTATCACTTTGTTTACAAATCGTCCAGACAGGAAATAAAATATTTTGTCATCGGAATTTCATTGAGTTTGCTTTTTTTTGAGAAAATGGGGTAAATGGTTGAAAAATAGTTAAATTTATATTAACTTTTATTAATTAGAAAAAATAATTAAGAATATAGATATTCCTGAAATATAAAATTTCTATAAAATGTTTGGTATTTAGTACGTTCTCTTTAATTAAACTTCCTAATTTTTCAGCATTTACAATCACAAATATATTTCTAAATCAAATAAATCTGAACACTTTAAGAAATATCTTGAAGGAAATTAATGTTTTCATTAACACATCTTGAATTTTTTAACTGAATTATTAAATCAAAAAGAAATACTTATTATGTTCCGCTTTTAGTGTGATATAAAATGCAAATACGTTACTTATATTTTGAGGTATTTCTTAGAATTTATAGTTATGTTTCTATTTATTAATACAGAAACATTTCGTCTGTATTATTACGTTTATAATTTTAACAAAGATAAAATAAATAATAAAATAAATAATAATAAAAAATTAATAAATAATAATAATAATGAAAATAATAATAAAAAATAATAATAATAAAAATAATAATAAAAATTAATAAAAAATAATAATAATAAAAATAATAATAAAATTAAGACTATTGATGGGCATATTTGCTGTATTTTGGAGGCAATATTGTGCATTTAAGAAATTTATTGGTTTTAAAAAACGCAATAAAGCTATAGAAATCTAAATTAAAATCAGTATTTTCAGCTTACTTTTGTTCAGCACTAGCTGAATACCCGTTGATTATACGGGAGGGACAAAAATCAATAAATCAGTACTAAGAAACACTAAGAAATCATCCACAAAACTGAAAGACATATACCAACACAATTAATAAAGCTAAAATAATTACAATATAATTTTTTTTATTCTTGCCGATAGTTTTACGTTATTAGATTAAGCTAAACATGATTTTAGTAGTTCTACCCATCAAAATAAAAATGAACTACATTCACTATAATTTTGCATGATGTACTGTTGCTCGAGGCCAACTCATGAGAGTCAAAATTCGGTACAATTAAGCAATTTTCTCCAGTTCTAATCACTTTCGAAGGGCCGTAGACAGTCTATTTCCACAGTAACTGTTATAAAAATGTACTGCTTTGATGTGCACAGTTCAATGCAGTTTTGATGCAGCGTTAATGAGTTTTAATGCAGTTTTTCTATCGTAAAAAATTTATCATATTTATTATAATAGAAAAACTGCAGCTTATCATAGCTTATCGTGAAGATTATCACCAAATTCAATTACGCTTCAATAATAGTATAGCGATTTTTTACGTTTCTCTAAAGCAAAATAATACATAATTCTAATTTTTCCATTAATTTTGCTTTTTAATACATTCCTCGTTTTTCTAATTGGTTTAATTATGATCAAAATAAGGATCATTGAAATTAGGAATATAATGGCAATTATTTATGTTTCTCTTAAGCGAACAAGAACTATTTTTCCATTATTTTTTCTTTTATTTCAATACATAATTTATTTATTTTTATCTCAATTACCGTTGATTTTAAATTATTTGGTTTTATAAAAACACATTTTTACAACATGACTATAAAGAAAATAAGCACTTGGATCCAGATAACTTTAGAAATGCTATTAACCAGCGCATGCTACTACGATCACATTGATCATTAACAAATAATAAATAATTAATTATTAAAAAAGGGCAATAAACCCCTTTTTTAAATTATAAGAGCTCCTAGCTAACAAACATCAATGATGTTACTTTTTGAAATATTTAAAAAATAGAATAGAATCTTTTGGAATTTCATGAAAAACAATGGATGATGCTAAACCAATCCGAAAATTCCATTTTTTCAAGTGCTTCTCCCGATTGATCTAATGGAAATTTTGAATGATTTTTGTTTTTTTCACCCACTGTCTAACTTTCAAGACTTAAGTGCAAATGGTTAGTTATTAAAGAGACACGCTGTCACACAAACTCTTGATTTTGTAGTGAAAAACAGACTATAAAGCTGTTCGTCTATAAAGCTGTTCGTCAAAATTACTAAAGTATGATGGCAAACGCTGCGCCTTAAACTAGTTACTTAAATATAAATAAAATTAAAATAAAGTGAACATAAAAGATCCATCTAAGATATTCTATTTCATTTTAATTTTATACCTTAATTATTTTTTTCTTCATTTTTTTAGGTTCGCAATGCAAGCGTGATTGGTCTTTCGAGAGAATCAGAAATAAGGAACTAACTGGCATCGACCATGAAAAAGTAATTGTTGAAGCAGATACAAAAGAGGATTGCCAGATTGCTTGCCTTAATCACAAGGAATTCCGGTGCCTTAGCGCAGAATTTAACTATCAGCTCACCGAATGTCGCCTAAGCCCATACAACAGATTTTCGTCCACAGAAAAAGGAGTTTCAGTCAGTAATTCAAGGCTAGTAGTGGACTATTTTGAAAACAACTGTATAAGTGGTAAGTAGTAATATATATAATTTAGAAATAAATTTGCAGCGGGGTTTTTTGAATAACAATAAAAATGAAATTACCCTTAAAAATTTAAGGTGTGTTTGAGGTTTATTTAAAGTTGATTTAAAAAACAGTCTAAAAAATTCAACTTCTCAAGTCTTATAATCAAGGAGTAGGAAGCTGTTTTACTGGCAATTAAGGTTGTTTTGAGGTTGATAGATACCTGCCTTAGAGCAACCAGCATAGAGAGGCTGTTTTTGAAATGTGCATGTTATTTTGCTTATACGTCAAGGAAATAAGTGTATCTCATATGTGAATAACTTCATCTAATTTCAAATAAAAGTATCTCTGAGCTATATATGAGGTTGATTTTATAAGAAATTGAAGTTTTAGATAATGTTATTTTACTGTAAAACTTTACCTCATTTTTTACCTCCGGTGTCATTTTTTAGACCTGTCCACCTCAAGAAAACCTCAAAAACACCTTATTGTTTTTGCTAAGGGTCAGGATGTTCTTAAGACTTTTTCTATAAAAAAAGAGAAATATATATATAGACGTCAAGACTTTTATTTATGGATGATGATTATTTGAAATTGATTTATAATTCTGAATTTTCACAAATTTTTATAAGTCCTACAATGCAGAATTAGAATAATTTTTAAAAATTTGAAAAAAATTTTATCACAAACGCTTTTTATTTTTACAAATATTTTCTTTTCTGTATTGTATCATTTTGTGCCAATTTTTTAAAAAATAGTATATAGAGCTCTACTTAAAAATAGACAAAATGTAACCTCACAATTATGAATAGCTCTATTCATTTCCATAAATTTAGGATAATTGCGGCCTCAGCTAATAAAAGTTCAGAAACAAAACAAATGAGATTTATTCCTAAAGCCCACTTATAAAATTAAAAAAAAAGAACAAAACAGATAGTGTATATATGATACCATTCATAAAATCTATAATCTTTTTTCCTTAGAGCAATTGTAAAAAATAACTCCTTTACAAAAACTTTATATTCTATAGTTGGAACGATGTTTAATACATTTCATCAACTATTAGTATTCACCTTGTATTAGGCGATGAATACAGTTCGTTCAACACGTACGTATGCTGAGTATCAAATTATCGTACTGATTTCAGGGAAAATTACGCTACTCAGCAAGTAATTCTCTCCGAAGTTCCGGAAAACATGTAATAGGTAGTTGATGGACTACAACTCGTCGGGCTAACATGAAACTCATATGCACTACTGGATTTAAGTCAGATGAAAATATTGGCTATTCCATACGGATGATATTCCCAGACTGAAGACATTCGTTTAAAATGTTTGTTCAGTGAGAATGGGTGTTGTTATCCATGAACACAAATTTTGCCCACATGATAACTGTAAACAAACCTAAATGCTGTTCCAGAATGATGTCCCGATAAATTTGACCTTTCACGGTTTCGATTTGAACATGCAGATCTGCTCTGGAGCGAAGTATAATTCCACCCCAAACAAACTATATTGCCCAACGTAACAGTGGCGTTCAATTATGTTTTCTTGATGATAACGGGTACCTGGCGTTCTCCATATAAACGTCAGGTGTGAATTACACATCAGGCTCAACCAGGGCTCGTTGGAAAACATCACAGAAGTCCACTGTGATGATGCCCACATTGCTTGTTCTCCACTTCAGGCTACTCGCTAACGACAGTGAGTTGCCGTGAGTGGAACAAATCTAATAGGCCTGCGAATATATTGATTAATGCTTTTTAGACGTAGTCTCATGTTTACTCGAATTGAAAAGAAAAATACAGTTTATTTTGTTCAAAGTAAAATTATATTTATAAAATGTATACTATAAAAAAACACATGATTTTACAATAATATTTTGACTGAAATTATCTGCATCAATGGAATTACCCAATCAATTGTTAGAAACAAACATTTCTAAAATTTACAAAAGTTAATTTCCCTCAGAAAAAAAAAATCTTGAGACCACGCATCCCTATTAAAAATAAATCCCCCAAATCTCATAAAACCAGAAATAAAATTACAAGAAGCTATTTAAATTCATCAATTGCTTAAATCTACTGGAAAATTACAAAAATCGCTCAAGATTGCTTACTCTACTTTCTTTTTAATATCACTCTCCATGAAATCGACCAAAAGTAAGTAGATATAGTTACATAGCTAACAAAAAAAAGAAACATCCATTTTCATAAGAAGCAATCATATCCCTCCGCCACCCCAGTCATTGAAAAGAATGGTTTACAAAGACACAAGAACACAGAATTCCCTTCACGCATAGCGGAGCTTAGTAGGGAAACGTTACATTAAAATCATTTCACAATCGTCGCAGCAACGTATAATGGTAAACTTTCTGCTTTTTCTTGACGTCCCACTTGTAAAACTGATCCCTGCGCAATGCATTTAATGTAAACAAAAAAGCAGAAAAGGAAATGAGGCTTGAATTTAGCTGAAAAAAGGCAGCAACAACAAAAAAATGTGAATGTGCTTCTTTCGTAAATGGTCCTCGCTATCTTCTCCATAAAGTATCGCCCAAAAAGCAGAATCACCTAAGGCTAAGGAAGCAGCACATCTACCTATAAGAGAAGCACATCTTTAAATTGCCAAGCAATAAAAATCTATCTCCGATATAACTTGAATACGAGAGAAGTGGCTTGAGTCTTTAAATAAGACGACCTGCGGTTCCCAGTGAAAGTTTTTTTTTATTATTATTTATTTTGCGTGTATTTCTTTAGGATTGAAAGAGAGAATTTGCTCAAAGGAAATATGAAACTTTTTTATTGTGAGTTGAAGTTTATTTACTGCTCAAATATTGATATCACTGAAATTTTGATGATTGTTGCTATTCCTAACAAGTTGTAAGGCGTTTTAGGTGTGTTTTTTTTCTTTCTGTTTTTGGGCGTTTCCTTAAGATTTATGAAAAGAGTTTGGTCTGAAAGAATATTATAAAACTGTGGAAATAATTTGGATACTTTTTGCTCCAGTAATTGCGTGCAACAGGAAATATTAAATGCCATGAAATGAAATTCCTTATAATATTTCGAAATAAATTTAACATTAAGGAAATGAAACAATTTGAAATGCTAAAAATACATTTACAAAATTTCTAAATTATCGTAAGTGAGAAAAGGAATTTAAACAATGAAATGCCAGTGTAAAATATATAAAAAGGGACGTAAAAGTTTCCCTTATTCTTAAAAATATATATAACCTCTTAAATAGAAGGTATTACAAAGTTGTTATTTATTTTTTTTATTTTTATTTATTTATTTTTTTAGCTAGTATTACTAAATACACATCACGAAAATTCTGCTTAATTGAAATCAATGTTCTATTGATAAAAGAAAGAAAATATTCGTATATAGGTTAAAGAGAAGTTCAATGACCAACTCGTATTTTCCTACACAATTTAAAAACTAATCGATTTCGTATAATTTTAAACAAATAAGCATATTTATAATTTTTTAAAAAGGATAATAATAATTTTTGTTTTTATAAAAATTACAGTTTAAGTTTATTTTTATAAATAATAATAAATAAATCAATAGGCATCGTTTCTCAAATTTGAATTATTTAAAAATAAACTTACTTATTTCTATTGCCTCGCAAATAATTGGTAGGTTTGGAACTATTCTTCCTCATGGATTATACAAGGAAACTATTCCCAAAAAGTGTCTTCAATTATTAAATGTAAAAAAAAAGAAAATATTAAATTACATAAATGATTTAAGCACCATTAACACTGATGTAGAAGGAGAGCGAGGGAGAGGTTTTTTGACACCGACTAGGTTCGAGCCGGGAGCTTTCGAGTCCGTAGTCTGGTGCCGTACCAACCATGGAAAAAGATGTAAACCCCGAAATGAGTTAAGAAGATTTATATAAAAGACACATACTTAACAATCTAATCTAACGAATTTAAGTAAGTTCCTTACCATTATGGGTACGGAGCTGGTTTGTTAAACTAGGGAGGTGGCCATATAAAATAACAGTCAAACGTTTAAATTTTGCTGAAAATTCTTAGATAGTTTAAAAAGCAATAAAATTAAATTAATACACATAAATATTATATTTTGAATCAATAGACTTACTCCATTATTTTATATTTGTATTGCATTACTATTATTACTATTATTTTATACTGTTTCATTACATAATGGAGATAATAAGGTGAATCAAATTGAAAAAAATTGTGAAAATCTCAATTGTATTACGAATAAAGAAATGTAGTGATAAAAGATAACTGAACAATTAGTAAAATTCCTAACACATATATAGCATCTATTTCAGTTTTATAATATATAATTAACAAAATAGTACATGAAACGTATGTTTTTGTCCTAAAAGCTATGTTGTACCATCATTAAAACTGTAGCAATAAAATAAATCCAGGAACGTCCGTAATTAGAGTTTGACGATAATGATAACAAGTCACTTAAACCACTTTTCCACTAGCGATAAAATCAGTCATTTTCCTAAATAAAGACATTTTCTTCGTTTCTCGGCAAGAATCCAAATAAATACATAAAATTTTCTCTCCTAACCGGAAATCTCTGTTTGTCAACGTCAGATGGTTTGACTTTTTCTTACTCTTCCCAGCGTTGTTTCTCCCTATTAAAAGTTGCTCTATGGCCTCTGGCAATAAATAGATGTAATCTCACAAAAATACTCCAATAACTCTACGCTCTTAATGATATCTGTAAAAATGGTGTATGATAAAATTATTTTTTTGCCTTAAAAATCTAGGCAGTCTCACAAAGGGGTTGTAAATCTAAGGTGGTCTAAATAGGTTGATGTAAATGACGCTTTGGTATATATATATATATATATAGGTGTTTTNTATATATATAAACACAAATAATAAAATAATATAAAAAAAGAAAACTGTAAATGGGAAAAAACCAACAGTCTTCCTCAAGACACATCTATTGGTATACATTTTAATGCAATATTTCTGAATAAGGAATAATTATCAGAAGATAATTACAC